TGGCGACGAAGATGAACTCCGCCCTGGTAATGCCCATGATCTATGCGGCGGTTGGTACCGATGATGCTCCGCGAGGATATGGCCATTGATGGCGTGCTTACAGGGACTGTATATAGACTGTATATGTTCAGTATATATTTCCGTCGGCGTGCTTCTCATTTGGCCCATACTTAATTTTTTTATTATATATTGACTACAACCACAATATATACAATTGTATATATTTTGTATATAATGACAAGATTGATTTATCTCGTGTTTTTGTATTCATGTCCTCCGTATATAATGTGTATATTTTTTGTATATAAGTCTAATATTGCATGTTGCATGTATTAAACCATAAAATATACTATAAATCTACCGAAAATACACGAGATGTAAATAACACAAAAAAGGATTACGAAGAGATAAAATTACCTGGTTTATTTTATATATTTTCTGGACTTATATATTGTCTGTATATTTTCTGTATATCTTATGTATATATTATGTATATATTTAAAATTCAAAAGCTGTATCTTTCCTAATTCCACTCAACCACCTTCCTTATTTTCAGGATTTAATTACTTTCTATGTTGGTTTTTATCTCTTTTATTTTAACGTCAAAAACGGTCCCATTATCATGATAGGTTACAACTTTTCACATATGGTAACTGAATCTTGACATATATGCAATTATTTTAACCAGATTTTTTTAGGAATGCAATATTATAACAACTCATGGTATTTTTCCAAATCTTTTATTTTCGTTAAGTATATATATAATTGTGCCCTTTTTATTTATGTAGTTTGGGCTTTCAATGTGTTTAATTTGACCTTATATTTATATAAACTCTATCTATTAAAATGTGTTGAGTGCAAGTTGTAACAATTTATATAATTTTTTTATTCTTAAAATTGCAGCTTTATATATAATCATATTTGTCTAGAGATTAGGAATTGATTTGATGTTAGCAAAAAGTTGTCATTGAATTTTAAAACTATTATTTTTAGGTTAGGTAAAATGTATTTTATTGTTTAATAGATCTAATAGTCATAAAATGTATCTTTGTCTCATTTCCGCGAGCTAAAACAAGCAGTGGTAAACTTCTAGAGTGCTCAAAAAGGTGTTGGTGAAGTTTTCTTCTTCTTTTTTTTTTCCTATTTTTAATGTTTATGAAATTGCTTCTATTGGACATTATTCTTTCTCTTTTGTGGTTTTTACAGGTTTAGTAAAGTCCTTAAGGTTTTGTTGCCTGTGATTAGTTTTTGTTATGATTATTTTCCTCAGTTTTATTCTCCTTTTTTTTTGGGTTGCTATTTTCAGGTTTAGTGAAGATTTTATGCTTAAGTAGTTGTCTCTTTTCTTATGTTGGTTGGTTTTTAGAGGTTTAATAATGTCCTTAAGTTTATGTTTACTGTGAGTAGTACTTGTGATTAGTTGTTGCTATGATTATTCTCTCGGTTTTATTCTTTCTTTTGTTGGTATCTGCAGGTTTAGTAAAAATTATGCTCAAGTTTGGTTCTTTTCGATAAATTTTCAGGGATTATTAGCGATCTTTGGTGCAATTGTTTTGGCTAAGACTTTCTTCTGGATTGTCTTTTTACCGAGTATCTGGTAAGTTATTATTGTTTATTTGTTACTTACTAGGTTTGTTCATTTTGCTCTTAGCTTCATATTTATATTTGTTAAGTTTTTGTTTGTTGTTAGCTTAGTGAAGCATTTTTAGGCATTAATAATACAAATGTTGGCATAAAGAAAAAAATGAGGGCTGATAGTATTGAAAAATGGAAACTAAAGAAACTGAAGAGGATGCCAAATTATGTCGAGCCATCGTCAAATATACATCATATTGGACAATCCTCACGCCATATAGATTATATGTCTATGAGCCAAACACCTGGTTCTTTTGTACCTGCTACAAATTTTAAGTCTACCTTACCGTCAAATGCACATCATACTGGACAATCCTCACGCCATATAAATTATATGTCTACGAGCCAAAAACCTGGTTCATTTGTTCATGCTATAACTTTTGAGCCTACCTTACTCGAGAGATCTCATAATAGTGGTATTGTTGAATCATCAATTTGTGTGTCAAAAGAGTCAACTGCTTCAACGGTTGCTTTATCAGCTCCACAGCCTTATTCTCAAAACCGCTGATGCTTGAATTTAGTAGATGACAATAGTAATGGTAGAAGAAAAAGAAGTAGAAGTCAAACAGGTGAGAATTTGATCATTTTAATATTAAATATATTTTTATTAATTAATAATGTATATATTAAAAGATTAATAAAATTCAACACTAACATAAGAAGTATATATCAGGTCAAAACACTATGGATGGTCATCTTATATTAGAACAAGTTCCAACAGAGTCTGCTATTTTGCCTTGACCGCCGGATTGTGTATATTGTGGTGGTAAGAAAATTTTTCATGAAACTTCATACATGTGTTGCATGAATGGTAGTATTGAATTAAGCAATAATCCTCCACCATCTTTGTAGTATTGAATTAAGCAATAATCCTCCACCATCTTTGTTGAGAGATTTGTTTGATTCAAATTCTGAAGAAGTTATTTTATTTAGAAATTGTATTAGAACAATTAACAATCATTTTGCTTTTACATGAAAGGGTGTAAAATGTGACAAGGATTTGGAGAAGCATAACAAAGGTATTTATACCTTTATGATACAAGGTCAACTATATCATTATATTAACGACTTAGAGAATTCTCAGAACTTGCAGCTATATTTCCAACTATTATAAAATTGGATAAAATTTAAGTAACTTCTTTTTTTTTTGGCGTTATGAAACAGGTAACTAAGGACACATTACTGGGCCGGCTGTGCTTGGCACAGCTGAAGCATGCTAGTTGTTTATAAATATTAAAGCTTTTCCATGATGACTTTAAACTGCCAAGAACTTTTTTGTTTAATGTTATGTGTAATTATAATTTTGTTTACTGGTTTAAATTTACAAACTCCGTGGTTGTCTTCTTCTTTGCTGAAATTGAACGAAGGATTGTAGATCTTCGTCTTTCTTGTGGTATATTCTTACAGGGAAGACATGTCACCAATTTTCGGTGGTTATACGTGCTACACAAGTCAGAATCACATGAAGGCTTTATATAAAAGCCTAAATGGATATTCAGATTTAGAAGAGTTCAAATAGAGACATAAACTAAGGATATGTTTGGTAAAACTAGTTGATAACCTAACTTATAAATTATTAGTCATTTTCGAGCTTATAACATATAGTTTATGATTTATAGCTGAAAATCTAACTTATAGGATAAAAGTGTTTTAAAATTAGCTGACAAAGTAGCTGAAATAGAAAATTCAACTAACTTATTTAAAGCTACTTAAAGAAGTTTATCAAATAAGCTCGAGCTTTTTAGAAAAAACCCATCCTACCAAACAAGGTTTATTTAAATATCTATACTTATATTAAAAGCCATACTATTTACCAAAAATAGTAGCATAAAAAGTCAACTCACATTTAATGCATACTTTATTTAGAAATTTTTTACTATATGCATTAATTGCTTGCATAGTTGCATATATACATTTCCTATTCAAATATGATCAAAAAGATTCTTTTCCTTAAATAATTTTATTAACTTCTACAATGATTTTACTGATATATATTATAATTCATATTTTCGATCGTATATTTTAATTTTTATTTGAGTATATAAAAAACAATTTTTTTTAAATTAATATTTTATTTATCATTTAAGAGATAATGATCACATCATTAAATGATATTACTAATGTCTAGATAATAAAATAAATATATTAATTATTCTTTAAAATTTTAGCATGTTATTTATTTGTATCTATAGTTATTATATAAGGTATCATATTTACCAAATTTAGTAGATTGAAAAGTCAACGTAATTAATGCATTGTTATTTCTATCCAGAATTTTATTTAATTATTTTATTTATTTGTCTTATATCCCATAAAATCGATTTAAGAAAAAAAATCCTATGTTTATGACAAATAAAAAAAAGACTTAAAATCTTTACAAAAATAAAAAGACTTTATTTATTTGTCTTATTCCATATTAACCTCGATTTTGTCAAAATAAATCTCATAAAATCAGTGAAGTCAAAATTTGTACGTAAAGTCTATCTATAAAAAGAAGTCAGATTCAAAATTCCTTATATAATTCCGTCTTTTTCTTATCTAATTCCTTCTTTTCCTTATCTAATTTCTTTTTATTATCTAATTGTATGAAAATCTATTCTGATTTTGTTCAATCCTCTAATTGTATTTGTATTATATTCCATAAAATCAGTTTAACAAAAAAAATCCCATAACATCCGATAAGTAAAAAAACAAAGTACGTAAAATCTTTACTAAAATAAAAAGACTTTATTTATTATCTAATTGTATGGAAATCTGTTCTGATTTTATGGTACGTACTACAAATTGTGCACTTATGTTCAGGAGCTACTTAACGGACAAGCTCTGTGGAAATGACTAATTTAGTGCTTATGTCCCGTGCATACGGTATGTATTTTTATTACACATACTAGAAAATTGTGCACCCCGTACATTGCACGAACTCTGTTCTAATAAATTACCTTAAAATTGTACACCCCGTGTATTACCGTGTTCACATTTTGACATATTACAGGTCACGAACTATATATATTCTGTACATTTTTTTTATTCATTTATATAATTATAAGAATGGATAAATGACCTTAAAATTGTGCACCCCGTGCATCGCACGGGCTCTGTACTAGTATAGAGCTTAAAACTAACCAAATAAGCGATAATAACTTATTTGTCTGCCACACATAGCCAAAAGCAGAATTCAAAACCCAGATTCTAACACCCTGAAATGATAAGTATCCTATCAACGAAAAAAGTAGAGGAAAAGAAAAATGCAGGAATAATATAGAGCATTTCATTTCTTCTTATTATTATTTTTTTCCTTGTCAAACTTGTGGTTCCCACTTAATTCCAAGGCATTCAAGAACCATAGCAGGCTGACTTGTGTGCAGGTTGACCGCCTGCAACGCCAGCTTCGGTTTGCTTGATTCTGATTGTTGTTGCCTGTAGATGGCATAAAAAGAGGTTCATCAACAAGGATCCTAAATTAAAAGGCCTTAATCATGTTAAGAATAGCAACCGAGTATTAAAGGCCATTTACTTCAACTCTGGCGTTGGAGTCTGAAAGCCTTTGTTTTATATCCCGAGCTATTGAAAAGAAAACTTCTTCCACATTAAGATTCGTTTTAGCACTCTGTGGCAGAAAGAAGCATCAGAAATGCACATACATCAGCTGCCCTCACTCACTATCAATAGTTGAAGAGTACTTACAGTCTCGAAGAATTTAATCCCGTACTCGTCAGCAAGTTCTTGACCATGGGAAGTGGGCACAGCCTATATTTACAAAGTAACTGGATTCAGGAAACTAACAAGTATCACCAGAGCAAAACTTTTCCAGCAACCATTTTCTGTTGCCTTGATAACAAGAAAATTTTGGTGATTTGAGATTTAGCATCAAATTGATCTCTCAAACACCTATTCAAGTTAAAATTGAAGACCTTTCTGATTCGAAAGTTTGGAAGTACATGTTAAACCCACTTCTGGATAGAATACTAATGTCTCCTGATAGATTGAAATTACGTCAACAAGATTGCAAAATTGAATATAAAGCACCAATAAATCATAAGCTTACCTATTTCCATAATCCATATTATATTTCACCTCCAACCAAGATGTTCAAAAGAAATTTTAGTGGTAAAAAAAAATATTTTTTGGAAACATTTCATGTAGTCTGATGAATGTCATCCAAAAAGAACATCCTTAGATTTCTTCGCGTTCTATTATTTTTATATTGTTTGGGAATAAAAGATGAGACAATGTCCCTCTTGTCCTCCGACAGAAATTATGTTCAAAACATAACCAGAATTTCTTAATTTAAGGGTTGATTTTGAGGATTTTTTTTGTTCTGTAGAATTTTTTGATTTTGATTAATCTTTTTAGTTTAAAGATAAGAATAGCGCGAATTGACTACATTAAGGAAACCATTTTTGCAAACAGTAACAGGGATTCCAAATTACTCCCTAATGTCAATCCAGAAACACATAAACGTCCCTGAAAAGAACTACTACCAAAGCTGAATCATAGCACAATTAAACAGCTAAGAAACAATACTAGAAAAAAGACAACATAATACAGGTACCCTTTTGCTTTCATCCATATCAGCTTTATTTCCTACCAATATCTTGTTGACATTGTCAGAAGCATGTTGTATAATATTCATAATCCAGTTCCTAATGTCTGCACAGAGAAATGCATCGACAAGATACAAATAGAAAAGGAAAAAGAGTAAAGTACAGAATACTGAACCACTGGCATGCAATCCTTTCCTTTTCCAATAGAAGGAGGGTTGGATCCTTTTAGGCATTTTCGAAAACTACGTGGAAGTGTGTTCTCCATGATCAATTGACTTTCGAACATCGTATGAGATAGAATTTAAGAGTTTCACTACCCAAAAGGCAACAAGAAAAGCAGCAATACTAAAAAACAAAGAGATTTTCACATATAATCAGGAATGCCAACCAATTTTTGCAATATTATGTTTGGGCCAGCAAAAAAAAATATACTGCGCCTAAATAGAATTATAAATATCTACTCTGTTTGATTCCCAGTGTGCAAACAATATGCAAGAAATAAGGATGGAGCGAGGGCATGATGGTTCACCTAGTACAATAAAAGCAACACTAAAAGAAGCTAAACTAACGTAAAATGATTGGATCATAGCGAATGTAAGAAACCGTACTGTTAAAAGACGATTCATCTGTTACATCATAGACCAGCAATATACCCATTGCTCCACGATAGAAAGCTGGAGAATATACAAGGAAATAGAATCTAACTTGTTTGATTTACATGTGTTAAATGTAACTCACAAATATACTGAAAGTAGCGCATTCCTCATTCACAAATGAAGTACGGCAAGCATCACTGATACGTAAAGTGGTAGGGGATACACATGTAAGATTTGTGAAATCATAATTAACCCTCTACGTAAGGAATCCTGAGAAACAATGAACAATAACGAAAAACGGAGTTGTAACTAAAAAACGGAGTTGTAACTATAATAAATCAAACACCAATCATGCAAATTAGATGTTTCAAACTCACATTAACTTCTACCTAACATATAAAGTTTAGAAGATTAATTTTATCTAGGTTTACCGAGGAAAAGCACTGAAGTTTTTCTTTTCATTAAAGGAGGATCAATAGTGTTCTCACTTCCCCTCATTGGTCACTCGAACTCATGACCTATCGATCATAGGTGAAGAGTGGAAAAGACTGAAGTTAAGAATGAGTGCATCTGCAAAAGTCCAATGTACGTCGTGCAACAATTGGGACAATCAATCATATTGCAGAAAATTGATAAAAGAGAAGCTAAATTCTGAACAAGTTTCATATAAGAACTAAACAGAAGCCAATGCATTTAATATGAGAAAACAAAAACACACATATATATAAATGCGTATATATGTATATATATATGTTCTGAATGAAGTGAACTTTTACAGAAAGGCAGCAATGGAGCAACCTGTAGTGATTGTTCTAAAACGTTCTTGACCAGCTGTATCCCAAATTTGGAGCTTGATCTGTTTGCCATCAAGCTTAACAGTTCTTATCTTGAAATCAATCCTATGTAGTAAATTCACATCAGTGATTCAATCAAGCACCTAATAATTGTTTTCTGCAATATGGACTTACCCAATGGTGGTAATGAAACTAGTTGTGAAGGAGCCATCGGAGAATCGCAAAAGAAGGCAACTCTTACCCACACCTGCGAATTAGAAACCAAATGATCGAGAAATATATTCAAAAACTTAATGCAGCATAAAGATAAATTACCAAGAAAATAAATGAAGAATTGATTGCAAAAGTAATCGAGAACTTCAAGCTCAAATCCTCTTAGCAAGAGACACTGGACCTGTTGGCGTCCATTGTGGTAGTATGTTAATCAGTCTGTTAGTTTCATTTTCGGTTATTTCCAGCTTGAGCTAATAACGGGTTTTAGCTTTAGCACTTTCTCTTTGTTCCATAGTTATAGTGACGTGGATATTTAGTACAAATACTTGTATCCTTTCCCAATTGGGTATTATGGAATAGGAAAATATCTGTGATTGCACAGCTACACAAAAGATGCATCTGCATTTCTACATTGTATCGAGAGCTAGATAAAGCTCACGGTAACATGGCGAATGCCTGGAACACGACAACTTGGCTGCTCCTCAATGCTGGCGATGGAAAATCCAGCATATCTCGCTCGAATTCAGAGATCTGTGATGTGATTCATCTCCAGAACTCAGATAATCCAGGCATGATTTTGGTCTCGCGTCCTCTGACTGGTATGAATTACCTCTCATGGTGAAAATCGACGACGATCACACTAGGAGACAAATCGACGCTTGGATTTATCAACAGTAAGATTCCAGAACCTGATGAAACTGATGAAAGTTATGAAGTTTGGCAAAAGACCGATTACATTATGATATCGCTGTCTCTTCCTTTCGTTGGTTGTTGAGAAGGGAGGGATACAATTGAATACAATTGAAGGTGTAGGAGATGGTTCTTGGGTATTGGACACTGGTGTTACTAGGCATATGTGCATTGATAAAAACCTCATTATAATCTTAATTTCATTCAGTCTGTTGTCCATGTTCACTTGCCAAATTGAAACTCTTTCAAAGTCACAAGCTGGTGAAGCAAAATATCTTCAGAAATCATTCTTCATAGTGTTCTCTACATACCTGATTTTAAGTACAATCTTCTTTCCATTCCTCAATTAACAGTTCAATCACACTGTATACTCACACCATACCTTAGCCCAGAATCCAACATTGTCTTAACTGTTGGAAGACTAGTGGGAAAGCTATACTTAATCCAGAACCCTACACAATATTCAAAACACCAAACTGATTTAGCTTGTTCTTCTGCTATTAATGCTCCATTTTTATACTTCTGGCATCAAGTGTTAGGTCATGCTCAACTTGGTGTTCTTGAGCATTTACATTTCCTTAATAAACATTGTAACAAATCTGATGTTGATCTAATAAAAGGTCGCGATTCTTGTTTCAAGGGAAAATTTAAGAGATCACCATTTCCATTGTCAGAAATTAAATCTCATCTCAACTTTGAACTATTGGATGTTGACATCTGGGGACCTTGCAAAGAGCCTTCCATATCAAACGCTCCTTATTTCTTAACTATAGTGGACCATAGTTGAGCCACACGGGTATATCTCTTAAAACAGAAGGGAGAAGTTCCATCTATTCTAACACAGTTTATCCTAATGTCTATATCAGTTTCAAGCAAGAGTTAAGACAATAACAAGTGGTAATGGTATGGAATTTTTAGAAATATTTGTCAGCCATTTTTACATTCTCTGGGAATAATTCACCAAACCACTTGTGTTCATACTCCCCAATAAAATAGGATAGCAGAAAGAAAGCACAGACGCCTCTTAGATATGGAAAGAACTATCATGTTCAACTCCAATCTGCCCATAAAATTTTGGTCCTACTCAATCCTCTATGCTGCACACAGCATAGATTGCCAACATAGATTGCCAAGTTCAATTTTACAATGGCATACTCCCTTTGAGAAACTGTATAACCAGACACCAGATTATTCACTCCTCAAGCCTTTTATTTGCCTTTCTTATTCTACCATTATCTCCCCAAATAAATCTAAATTTGAACCTTGAGCGCACAAATGCTTTTTCATTGGTCTTGTCCCTAGAAAAAGGGCTTATCATCCATATGATCTGGTCACTAACAAAACTTTACTTTCTAGAGATGTGACATTTCTAGAGACTGTATTCCTCTTTTCACAAGTGGCTGAGACAATCACCCGACCTCATATTTCTTCTACTACGGTTACAAATGAATCCAATTCTCCTACCATTTTAGCTTCTTCACCTATCCTTGATTGATTAACCAGAAACTCCTTCTTTAACCAAAAGAAAAAGAAAAACACCAGCTCGGCTTAAGGATTATGAAGTATATTTAATCATTGCATGACCATTTAATTCCTGTCCAAGATCCACTTATAAAAAATGTGACATATTCATAACCATGTTCATTTGTGCCAAGTGTCCTCTTTTAAAGAACCTTCTTCTTATGCTGAGGCTTGTACTCAAGCACCTTGGATAGAAGCTATTAACAATTATTGACAACCTTAGAAGTCAATAACGCTTGGGAATTAACACATCTTCCTAAGCTAAAGAAAGTTATAAGGAGTAAATGAGTATTCAAGGTTAAATATAAAATAGATGGATACATATACAAAAAAAGGTTGGTTGCCAAGGGTTTTTAGTCAAGTGCACTAAAATGACAGTTTCTCTCGTGTGACCGAATTAGTCACAATTAGATTTTTCATAGCATTTTGCTACTCAAAAGGTTGGCCTTGGAAAGGTTGGCCTTTGATGCATTTTGATTTCAACAATGTATTTTTGCATGATTACTTGCATGAGGAGGTTTATATGAAACTACCTAATGGCTAAACCAAGGCTACTCATGGGCAAGTTTTTAAATTGAAAAGGAGTCTCTATGGACTCAAGTAGGCTTCAAGGGAATAGAATCTTGAGTTCACCAAGAAGTCACTTAATTATAGTTTGGAACAATCTGCATGTGATCATTGTCTTTTTGTCTGATCAGTTTATGGCAATCCTTGTATATGTGGATGATCTTTTAGTGACAGGGAGTGACTTGGATGATATTACAGCACGCAAACTGTCTTTAGATGAAGCCTTCACTATTAAAGATCTTGGTTCTACTAAGTACTTCTTGAGGATGGAGATCACAAAGGGAGAAGAGAGTTCTTTTTTTTTTAGCCAAAAGAAATATATCATGGACTTTCTTGATTCATGATTCAACTCATCTTGACTGTTGCTATCCCACCATTACACCTTTTCCACCACGTACTTCTCCCACCTCATGTCATGGTGATCTTCTGGCAGACCCTGACAAGTATAGTGGTTGATTGGGAAGCTTCTATGTCTAAATCTGACTAGGCCTGACATTACTTACTCAGTGCAACAATTGAGTCAATTTGACACTCAACCTAGGTCAGATCATTGGACAGCTGCCTTGCATGTTCTTAGATATTTGAAAAGGGCCTCTTATCTCAGATTTTCTACTCTTCCCACTCATCATTTGTTCTCAAGGCCTATAGTGATGCTGACTGGTAATTGGTTATTGTTTGTTTTTGGGAACTTCATTAGTCTCCTGGAAAAGCAAGAAGCAATGCACTGTGCATGAGATCCAATGGTTATCCTACGTTAGTGGGGAATTTAGGATTTATCCTACTATGTCAATCTCTCACTTCATTGTTACAAACAAGCTGCAATCCATATTTCTGCCGACCCGGTTTTCATTAGAGAACAAAGCACCTTGATATTAATTGTCACATAGTGCGAGATAAATACAAGGAAGGTTTCATTCCCCTTCTACGTGTCCCTACTACATTACTGCACAGTTACTGTTGATGTTTTCACAAAGCTGCTGCATGTACGGCGTTTTCGTTGGCTTATGTCCAATCTGGGCTTGGTTTCCCTCACCCCAAGTCCAGCTAGGGGAGGGGGTGTTGGTGTCCATGGTGGTAGTATGGTAGTGAGTCTGTCGTTTAGTTTCATTTTCGGTTATTTCCAGCTTGAGCTAAAGACGTGTTTTAGCTTTAGCACTCTCTCGTTGTTCCTTAGTTATAGAGACGTGGACAATTAGTATAAATACTTGTATCCTTTCCCAATTGGGCATTGCGGAATAGGAAAATATTTGTGATTGCACAGCTACACAAAACATGAACTCTCCATTTCTACATGAACTCAGACAATGGTAAAGAAGAACATGTGTACACGATCATCAATATTTGTTTCATAAGGTGGAATCACCTTACATGTAACAGTGTTAATAACATCAACACATGAGCAGAGCAGCCAATTTCAGTACAAAGAAATTCAGTTAATAACTCTATATCAGCACACACTGGACGAACACGCTCAGCAACAAGAATAGTTTCGAACCAAATATTCATGAACATCTCACACATCAAGATCCCCAAATAACAATTAATTCGAAATTATGGCAACTTAGAGCACAGATTCGAACAATAACACAAATTTTCAGACCAATATGCGGCCTCGCACGATTAATTAATAGAAAGATCGAAACATTGTGACATTGTCAAATCCATAAAGGAGGGAAAACGAGATTTCAATGAAGACGAACCACTGTCGCCGATGAGGAGAAGCTTGATAAGGTAATCGTAATGCGCCCGTGCCGTAGCCGGTGCAACAGCCATTAAACCTTGTCGGTAGTGCCGTTTCCCTTCTCAATATGCCGTCGTTTGAGGTTCTTGATTGTATATTACTCGCAGGTGGGTGCAGAGAGCGGAAGAGATAGGGCTGTGCCACAGTCCGTCTAAAAACCTTGTTCTGTTGAGTATTATTATATGCTTTTTATTCAGCCTATTGTCCGTCTCCTGCGCATGCTCCAATACCTGGAGTAGAAATGTTGAGAGGGTGAGAACGTTTGTTTAGGAATTAATTTATCCAAAATCGTGAGTTATTTCAGTTTGGGTTAATTGAGTGGAACTCGACTTTAACAAAGTAATCCAAATGTTGTTGCATGGGTCCAAATGTCTCCTTCAAATTAGACATTCTGCACTAAGTTCTATATGTAGGGCCTCTAACATCTCATTTTATGATTTGTTATTTTATTGTTTAATAGAATAGTTACGAATTTGCCATTTTTCATATGAAAGGTGAATTGTTTAATAGGATAGTTACGAATTTGCCATTTTTCATATCAAATGTGAAATATAGAAATGAAGAAAAAGAAGAATGAAAGTGAAAACGTGTAAGAGAAAAATAAAACAACAAAAGGAAAGTAAAAAATAAAAAAATAAAAAATGATATATTAATAATGAGTATATAGTCTTTATGAAAGTTTCTTTAGTAAATTTTTTTACATGTTTTTTTTTTCTTTGGAGATTCCGCCGTTGAGTCTGTCTTTATATCTATCGGAAGAGAAAGAAAAAGCGAAAGAATTTATCTTCTAATTTTGCTATCAAATGTATTTGGTATCCTAGGCTTGTACTTTTTTTTAGGTTGTTACTTAACTGTAATTGTTGATTTTTTTTTTTTTTTGTCAAATGGTGAATTATATATACCTAGATATGAAGGTTCGATTTTGTGTGCTTGTTGAATTAAATTGTATTGACAATAAAACAAAATTGATTGTAAACGAAAGCTGCAAGAATGGGAGCGTTCGTTGTAGCGCCTCATTTGTTCTAGAATTATTTAGTATTATTTATTTATTTTATTTTGTCCGAGATTATTTAATTCGTGCTCGATTAGTATTTTATTTGTTTGTGTGATTGTAATTGTCTTATTGTTTTAGTGTATTAATATTTAATCGAGTTGAATTATTTATCGATGTAACCGAATCATCGAGCAACGGGTTCATTCGAATTTTAATCGAGCGTCGAGCATGATCGGGATATTCAATCGAACGCCACTCGCCAAGAGACCAGGCCGCCCGAAGCCCGCACCCGCGCAAGACTCGCGGCCCCGTCCGCATAGCCGAACCCTCATGCATGCACGCAGGACTAAATTTGAATTTTGAAAATCAAATTATGTGATATCTTATCCCCTCATTTCTTGTCCATTAATCAAGATTATAAGGAGGTTACGTTTTTGACTTTGCTAATTATAAGGAAGGCAATTATCTCTCCCCTTATGTAATAACCCATTTAGTAATTAATAAAAGTAATTATTTTAGTTCCGAGTTTGAACTAATTTACTCTTATTAATAATGCTCGTTCCTACTCCTGAGCCAGAAGTAAGTTATTCAGTTATAAGTTCGATTTTATGTTGAAAGTATTTTCGGTTGAATGTTATTCAGTAATCGAGCAAGTTCATTAATTATTTTCGGTCTGTTTATTTTATGACGGGATTAATTAGTCCAAGATGACGAATAACCGAAATCGAGTATATTCGATAAATTGTTCAAGTTAAGTTTAGACCCGAATTAAATATATTTGGTCACAAGACAAACTTAAATCAATTTCCACATCTTACCTCATATACGAGTTTGAAGACACCAAGCAAACCACATGCACCTAAAATAGTTTATTAGACAAGAGTTGGCAGATCAAGATTCATTACCTCATTAGATGCTCGACAGATTATTTTAGTTCAGCTAATATCATGTCGAGAATAATCACCAAGTCAACTAGACAACTCGCACATTACAGATGAGGGAGACCAACCACCCTATGGCTACCATTTATTTTATATTGGATCAATCAAGCATTAGATCTTTATAAGTTGTTGTAGAGGATATCTCAAACAAATAAGAAATACCGGGTGTCCCGTCGGGACTCGAAACCCGAGTCGAGCATTACCAAAAAGTGATTTCGTGAAAGTACAAGAAGAGGAGAAGTCGTCAGTTGTATCGATTTATTATTTCGAGGTCCCGATCATTTATTTTGAGCTCACTTTTGTCGTCTTGAGGAGAATTTTTTGTCGTCTTTTCCGGCGGAACTCCGTGCTCGTCGTTTCGTTCGATTCTTTTAACCGAGCTCGTAGTTTTCCGAAGATGGGTAACAGTTCCGAACCCTCTCGTTATTGCGGTCGTGCTCGTTCATATTACCGAATCTTTGTTTGAAGTTGGATTTCTTTCAATTGGTATATGCATGATTTAATGCTCTGTTGTGCTGTAATTATGACCATCAAAAACTCGTAATTTGTTGCTGAGACCTTCTGATGAAATGTAGTATTTGTTGTTGGCTTTCTCGGAGCTTTGGAATTTCAATAATTCGAGTTATATCGAGTGAGTTATGATTTTTATAAAACGAGTGCTCAAGCAGTTTTCGAAAACCCGGCAGCATGTACTAATAAATGTTTGTCTTGTTTATAGTATCTTAATGTGCTCAAATTAATTTGTGATCTTCATGATAGTTGTAGGTCTGTTTTTTAGCTTTCTAATGAGATAAGATTCATACTGAGATGATATTTTTAGCTCGAGTTATGTTCTATTGAATAAAAATATGTATGAGTCGAGTGTTGAACTTGTGGCAGAAAACTGATTCTAAATGTTAGTAGCTTTTACACCATCTTAAGAACTTTATCTTCTTTTGTGTTCTAAATGAAATTTGTAGTTCTACCTCTTAGCTTTCTAGGGATGCATGAATTATGTCATTATGATGAGTGTAGTATGATATATGTCTATTTTACTAAAGTTGTGCACAAGTATGTTCATGTTTCCCAGACTGCAACTAGGTTCATCATGTTAGTCATTATAAGGCCTGTTTAATGTTGTTATTTGCTTCTGAGTTCTTCATGAAAGTTGTATCTTTGCCTCTTAGATGTCATTTGGTTTTTGATTTATATAATTTGGATGTATGTAGAATGAGTTAGATGATAAATACTGAGGTGTTGTTTATATCACATGTTAGTCTCTGGCAGATTTTATGAATCATATGTTTTGTGTTTAAACTCATTGATAATGTCATTATTTGCCAATGTTATCTTCAACAAAGTTGTAGATATTTGAGTTATCTACCATGTGGTTTTTGAATTTCATTAAAAGCATGTCAGTAGCTCCAGTTATCTAGAAATTACTGAAGTCCGGTTAGTTGCATGTTCTCAATTTTTTACTACTACTCAGTTTTGAATGTTTGATGATTTATATCCTAGTTAATGACCTTATTTGTTCTCGATGTCTTCATAAGAATTGTAGAGGCATGTATTAGGGTTCAAATGCAACTAGAATCATGATTATATGATATATGTGCTGCAAGTTATGTTGATTTCAAAATCGCTACTAAGTTTTGGAAATCTCGTGTTGTACCTTTGAAATTGGATTTTACTTGTTAAATGCATGCCTATATGACTTAGATGTGCTAAGTGGAATCCATGTATGTTGCTATAAGTTGTTCGTGTGTTGGATAGTCATTTATAGGACTATTTTAATATATATAGGTGTTTGACGAGCCGAGCTCGCTACCTACACGTGTTTCGTGTTATCTCTTTCTTTCGACCAGGTCGGTACAATTTGTGGTATCTATAATTATCGCACTTGTTATTTCGTATAAATGTTTGTTTTGATAGCTGTTGTATGCTTGAGAACCCTAGTCTAGGTTTTCTAGTGGTAGTGCCTTTGATGAATGCATAAACAGTGAGAGGTCACCTGCCCGTTTGCCTAGTCGGGAGGTGGACGCCCTGAACTGTTTGCCTAGTCGGGAGGGGAAAAACAACTCCACTGTCTCCCGGAAAGGATCTCTTTGCCTATGTCGAGCTAGAGATGGAAGGTTTCCTGTTACTTCCTTGCCGATGTCTGATCGGAAGGTTGTTGTATGTACATAGGAGGTTTGCGATAGGGCCATACAGGGAGTAGACATGGATTCTATGCATACTTTAATTATGGTTTTGAATCTTTATGCGAAATATACTGTGCGGTATTGGTGAGCATAATGGTTTTGCTCACCCCCATTGTTTGTTTTGTCTTCTTGTTTCCTCTTCCTATCTTTAGGTTGAGTAATGTTGGCTGCGGCAGCGAGAGACGAGCAAGTGGTGGTCATGGGATCGTCATGTATTTGCTTCCGCTTTATTTACCTATGTTGGATTGTTATTTCGGATCATGATGCTTCCACTTAAACGTTTTGAACATGTTGATGGGATCATGTTGAATCTCTTGGTTTGGTTTCGAAAACTTATTATAACTTGGTTTGATTATTATGATGTTAGAAATGCATGTGTAGGTTCTTGTAGTTTGTCTTAATTGTGCTTTTTTTTTTAGTAGTTGAGTAGCGCCCGTTTAAGTTCAAGTTTTAAATTGGAACTTTGCGAAAAATTTACTTTGATTTTTATAAATAAATTCGGTAAACTCTTTAAAATAAAACGGGGTGTTCTATAGATTGTCTCTGGTGTTAGTGTGTTTAATGACCATTTGACCACTCGCTTTCGTCTCACCGCGCCAGCTCGAGGTATGAGTTTTGTTGTTTTGCTTATCTTGTATAGGGCTTAAGAAATTTATCCGCCTTTGGTTTAATTCAGACTCTAGTGTTTAATGATGGACTCTAGAAATTTCCTCCGTACATATATAGACTTGAACTCCAGTGGTAAAGAGTTAAGTCACGACTCTAAGAGCTCGTTTAGGATTGCTGGCATGTTTAGCTACATGAAAAAGAGCTTACGTGGCGGCCGACACTGTTAGTCGGAAGAGTCAAACGAGCTAACCATTCTGTTGTTCGGCGACGGCCGCCGAGTTAGGATTGTTCCTGGCAGTGATACCAAT